CACAGATACTGCATGAAAACCAGGCAACTTATTTAAAATGTCAGCTTCCAAAGAAATTAGTTATCACTTAATATTACAATAGCCTCCTTCTCCTCCAACCATCCCCCCCAAAAAAAATCCTTTATGAGGGTCTGCAAGTTTTTCTATGCTATTAGATTTTTTTTGGTCCTAACAAAGTTACATTCTAATCTCCTATGCCATTTTAATTAGTGTCATGATTCTTCAGATATCTTTTGTTGTTGAGAATATACACAGCACAACAAACATCAGTTCAACAATTTCTACATGTATAATCTAGTGACATTGATTACATTTTTCAAACTGTGCAACCATTCTAATACACCTTTTCTGAGTTGCTCTTCCTCAATTAAACATACACTGCCTATTTTTTTATTATTAAATTTTATTCATTTTAATGAACATTTACAGAGATTTTGTGTTTTCATTCATTCATTGTTGCACTATTTTGTCTACCCTCCTCCCCAGTTCGTTCTTTTTGTCCCCCCTTTGAAAGTCTGTTTTAATTGTCCAATTGCCACAGTGCTTGTCAAAGCCAGTTCTGATGGCAGTGTGTCCTTTGCCATTCCCTACCACTCCTCCTTGAGAGAGACTTCACCCTACACTGCCTATTTTTAAAAATACATTCAATCACATTGTATTTGAGAGTTCACAAATTCCTATTTAATAATCTATACATGAAATTTTTTGTGACATTACTTATTAACCTCATAATGTGTTAACATTCAACATTTCCATACTGCTTGTCTCATTTCCACCTATCCAGTTCTCCAGCCCCACTTGCTGTCTCATCTGTTAATGTAAATGTTGACAGTGGATCTCACAGCTAGGTGGTGTAATCTGTAGAGAGCTGCATTGCTAATGCAAGGTGGCACCTCTCTGGTGGTTCAAATACAACAGCAGCTTGGAGGGGGAAAGATAAGCCATCTCTTCCCTTGTGAGTTACAGCTTTGGATTAGGTCTTGTAGAGTTGATAATTTAAAAGGACATACTTTTTCATGAGACTGTTTATTTTATAGGCTAACTCTTTTGACAGAAATATGACCTCTGGGAGTCATTTTATTGCCAAATTAAAAGAGAATCTTAGGGAAACAGTCTTTGGGGTTCCAGTAATCTAGCAGTACAGCAAGTTATCTTTTAATGAGGGTGATTTCTGGTTTATGCTTTTCTCCTGTCTTTCCAGGACTTTGTATTGTGTTCCTGGCCAGAGTGGCAGCAGTAACTAGGCACCATCTAATTCTCCTGGCCTAAGACTAGATCAGCAACTATGGCTCTGATGGGCCATTAGTCCTGTAGACTAATTTCTTCCTTGATTCTTTGGTTTCCTTCACTCTACATGGGAACAGTTGCATCTTAGAAGGAATCTTACAGTCATTTAAGACCCCAGATGCTATCTTCACCAAACTGGGATGCAGAGTACATTATCTTTATGAAGAATGTTATGCCATTTGACCCATTTGTCCCACATAATCCGTATGAATTAGGTATGCAGCATTATAAACCAGTCTGTGTAAGGTAACCTATTTATAATGCTGTTGTTGTTATATGCTGTCAAGTTGACTCTGACTCATATCGACCCTCTATGTACAATAGCCCTGAATCCTGCTCTATCATGAGCCAACCTCATTGTTTTTGACACACCTATCTCCACTATCCGAGTTACTGTGTTAGTCCATCT